GTGCGACGTGCTAGAATGAAAAATCTGCGGAATGTGATAATTCAATGTATTAGTACCCGCTAAAGTGCATTTGAACCGAAAAAACATTAAAGCCACTATAAACTTTTCAGTTTAGGTTTAGTTAAAAAGGTAAGGTTGGGATACGTAGTTACATCTACTCGGAATTTTCCATGTTATTTATAAATTGACCAATTATTGTAGGAATATGGTGCATACATATGGTTGAGAAGTATATTATTATGGTTAAATAAGTTTCTATATTGCATGAGAATAACCCCTAGCATTCATCTATTCGAGCCTTCGTTCTACTTTACATATAATAGCTTTATTAAATAAATGTTGTGTAACAACTTTGAGCATAATTCCACGTACATTCTAGCCGCATAACTTAATAAGCATTAGTTGCATAAATAAAACATAGACACATAAACCACATATGTTCACTATTTGTTTGTTTGGTATAAAGTATTAATAAGTGTCGCGATCAAGTAAACTGCATTTTGGTTACGAGAAACAATTGTAACACACAAGAGTACGGCCATTTGCTAAAAGGTATAACATTCACACCATTTTAGAACATTTTAGAATATTCAATGAAAACGACTCGATTACATACATTCGAAGTAGTTTTTTATTACTTAAGTACTTTACTCCGTACGCACTTTGGAGATTAAAAAAGTACGGATGTAGTTTATCCGTGTATCAACCCGATTTTCAATAAATATGCCAATATCTAATGACGTTAAAAAAAGCAATGAAAATTCTTTCACTTAAGAATTGTTATTAAATTTTGTTTTGTCGCCGTGACAAACATCCTTTCACATTCTTTACGTTATATATATATATATATATATATATATATATATATTTGCATTTATCATATTATCGTTTTAATACAATCACTTGTTATTAAAGGGTCTTTCGATTTTTTTTTTTTTTTTTATTACAAAATGGGTAATAACGAATCAACTCCTAATAATTACTCGAAAACTCTTAAACAAATTTCAAATGGCAAAGATAATAATCCGTTGTTTAAATATAAAGATGACCGGAAATTTCTTAAAAAAGCAGACATGTATTATTTTTTACCAATCGATGAACTTGAATCAGACAGAATGCAATTAAGAGTATGTAAATTTCATAATATTCAAATCGCATTTATTGTATTATTAACTTTGTGTTATTTATGTTGTTAAAAATTCTTGCTTATTTTTAGCACGATGTAGAGTGGCATGTCTGGCGAACAAATTTTTCTTCTCCTATAGAAACAACCTTAAAACTTGGAGGAGCTCAAGTTCTCGATGTTGCGTGAGTTTTATATAATTTAATCATGACTTTTAATCATGACTCTTCGTATATTGCCGAAAATAAGCCTCCTGTCTTAAACAACAGTTGTTATATATAAAAGTCAAAATTTTACAAAGTAAATTGCTTTCAAGGTTCAAAGTAAAGTTATTAAAATACGGATGAAATCTTTGCCTTGAAAATCAAGTTTTGATCATATGAATTACTATGTCCCGTAAGGTCATTTTCAAGGCAAAGATCCCATATATTTGAAATTTTGATGCTATTTGAACGACTGTTTGAAAATAAGCTATCTGTAAAATTTTCGTGTAACAAATTTGCCAAAAAAGGAGACGCTTAAAGTTAAAGCCAGGCACATCACGAAAACTCCCGATGCCTACGACCAATCAAAATCGCAAAGTTCTTGCTTACACGAATCATTCCGACGAAAAGAAACAACTGTCTAAACTCATCTTGACACATTAATTAAAAAATTTTGGAAGAACGGTTTTACTTATAAAACTCTTCTAAACTTAACCTATACAGGCCTTAATCTTAGCATTATATAATAATTTCGGGATGTACCTGGCATTAAGCTTTCCCACAAAAGGGTAGCTTATTTTCAGCAATATACGGTAATTTTAATTTATATCTATTAACATATATTTAAAAGTTGTGGATCCGGCTTGTGGGCATTAGAAATGGTATTTTTTTTTTTACTAATAGTTTTAACCAATTTTTATTAAATATACATAAATTAAAATTTCTTCATTACGTATTTAAAAGGCATCTGATTATCCTCTTTCCGAATTTGTTGGTGTAGACGTCGCACCAATTTTTCCATCTGATGTCATGCCTTCGAATGTAACCTTTAAACAATGCGATGTATTGGAAAGACTGCCATTTAGTGATTGTTCATTTTACTATATACATATTAAGGATTTATTCCAGTATTTTCCCTCAAAAATTATTAGGGATCAATTATTTCCTGGTAAACATTTCAAATTATACGTGAATTAAATACCAGATCAGATTAGGTAACAAAGAAATTTATTATTGAATAGATTTGGTTCGAATTTTGAAACCTGGTGGATGGATCGAAATCCAAGATCGTGATCCAAATATGATAAATGCTGGTCCTATCTGCAAACGTCTTGAAGACATGCGTATGTATATACAATATATCCATATATTTTCTTTTTTTTAAAAAAAAATAAAAATTTAAATTCATACCTTATTTTTAAATAATTAACAAAATATTTATAGTGTCTTTAAGCTTTTTAAATCGCGGCATACATGTTAAAAATCATTATGATGATATGGAAAAATTATTTGAAAAAAATAATCTTATCAAATATCGTTCTGATAAGAAATCTATTCCCTATGCCGACCTTGATTTGGTAAAAAATATATATATTTATATATTCTTTATAGTTTCAGCTATCATTTTGTATATGTATTATCACATTATTAATATCAATACGTAAATTTTTTTTTTATTAGGCAATACAAGATTTTCTTTCTACTTATAAAGCTATGAAATTTACATTGACCGAATATTCAGGAGTCACTGCTGAAGAATTTGAAGAGATAGTTGAGAATGCTAGCAAAGAATTAATTCCATCTAATTCTGAATTTGTCTCAAGAAAATATTTCGGTCAAAAACCTATGATATATGATATTTAATATGAATAATTATGCAACATTTATAAGTGCATACAGATTGTATATGCATTTATCAATGTCTTTTTACATCAAACTATATGATTCCTATATATAAGCGAATTTCTAAGTTTTGTTCGTAAAATGGATAATAAAAGATAACGTTTACAAATAATTTAATGCTATGATGAATTTTTCTATTGTTTTTTGGTTTTTCCTTTCCATCATTCCACTACTACAATAGTCGTGATAATATGACTATCTGCAGGAAGGTGTAAGGGATCTCAATATTAATCTCGTATAAAATCCTGATTGATTCTTTAAATAAGAATTTCTATGCATTAATGAATGTATGTATTATCGAACAAGTCGAATAATGAAAAACCTTTATGTAATCGTGAATGAGTTATTATTTAATTGAGAAAACACTACCCTGAGTTAAATTACGATGTTTTTAGTGGTTCATTAACATTCATAGATGCACTCCCTCTCTAAATGCACTTTTTTCCTGCATTCTCAGGGTTCGCAGAATTCACAGGGATTTCGTTTATAGAATCAATTTCGGGTCTTCATAAATACCGAAATTCTATGCAAACAATTCGCAGGGAAAGCATTTATAGAATCAACTTAATCTGGATCTTTAAAATGACTTAAGTGATATCAAACAATTCTATGCAAACGATTATATATTATTGATATCAAAATATTTTTATTAGTTACTATCTCATTTGCCTCATTTATCTCATTTATTTCATTTATTTCATTGATTTCATTTATATATGAGTGCGCCCAAGGGAAAACATGTCGTCGGACATTCAATTATATTTCGTATACAGTTAGCTGTCTGTAGAAAATCTATCATACTGATAGATTTTCCATAGACGGCTAACTGTACACGAAATATAATTAAATGTCTGATGACAGGTTTTCCTTGGGCGCACTCATATTTATTGTTATAATTCGTCCTTAACGTTAAGTTTAATCCTTTATTCAATTTCGTTATTTGTTGATCCATTCTTCATCCGTTCTTCATAATGTTGTCATAACACAAAGGAAAAAAACAAATACTAATTTTATAAAGCACTACTATTGGCTATTTATTAATACTATTAATAAACATTTACTCATTTTTAAATATTCCATTCCAACTCAGGTTATCAAAAATCTTTTTGTGTAAATTCTGAATTCGCTCAAAGTCGATTTAGAATACAAAAAATTCTAAAAAAAAAAAAAAAAATCTACATTCTCCATCATTCTCCGTGATTCTCCGTGTAATAAAACAAACAATTAAACATTATAAATTGATTTACAGGAAAGACAATTTATATCTACATTAAATTAATATTGTTACCAAATTAGTACTAATTTTTTTAAATGATGAAAGTCATTTTACACTTTATTTAATATAATAATAGAAAATTATTTTAACTCTTTAATAAAAATGGTTTTATGAATTGATTAAAAAAAAAGGATATCATGATAACGATAACGATAACGATAACGATAATGAGTTGTTTAAATATTTGTTGTAAGTTGAGATGGCATGTTCGGAATCTACTTAAATTGGAACAGAATAACTATACTAAAAATTCTAATCTTAACCTTAAAAAAAATTCCAAATCAACTTAAATTCCGTTCCCATTCACGACATATACATTCATAAAAAAGTGATTACATAGTTCTTTATCATTTTTCCTGATATTCTAAGTATACCATGGTTAAATAGCACGATTATCCGGTACGTACTCTTAAAGTGTAACTGGTAATTATGGCAGGGCAATGTTTACCCGGAATCTAGTTTAGGATAACCAGCTACCAAGTATATAGTTATAATCATTTTGTGAAACCTTAATCTACCATAATATACCATAGTTTTAATCATTTTCTAAATGAAAGTTAAAATAATAATAATAGTAGCACAATTAAAGTTGAGCACGAAAAACGGTTTAGGTTTTATAGTTAACGGGTTACAGTAAATGTGAACGGTGAAATTTTTTTTGGTTTTATAATCTGGATGCTCCTTTATTCAATAATTAATCTTACATCTAACAACAAAAATCAATATTTATTCATTGTACCCATCTTTAGAAATAATGATAGTAAATTCTAAAATCTCATTTTATAATAAACATGATAAACGATCCATAAATCAAGGTTAGGTCCGGATATCCTATCCAATCTAATCTGGTACTAAAGTTTTTTTTTTTTGAATCAAATACTATTAATAAAATAACCAGTACCGGTACGAATTAAACGGTACAGATTATATAATGTATTAGATAATGCATCCGGATCAAGAATTGATTCTCAAGACAACATAAAATTTTTTTCGACTATACCGATTTAGTTTACAACTATCTGACTATTCTCAAATAGTTCGTGATATAATATATGTAATGCCTGTTTGTTTATTAAAATGCATAAAACGCATAAGGCAGTGTTACAAACGTGTTTTAAAGTTGTGGCATGGATTATAAGAACGTCATCAAATTAGGTACACTTTATTGTAGATCATAAAAAATTGTGGATTTTGATTCTTTGTAGGAATTCTTTGTAATGTGTTACGTTAATTCGATCGATTCTTTAATAACGATTGTTGCTCATAACTTTGTGTTGAAACTTGGGTTACAAATATTGTATCATTAAAGATATACAGTATCTTATCTTTTCATGAATGAATTCAAAATTAAATTCACTGAGCATAACGAATGTGATAGCTGTATGCTTTACAACTAACCAATTTTTGGACAAAATGGACAGGTTTCCAAACTTATTAAACCGCAGCAATTTCTTTCTTACTCAAATGCATAACAATCATTAACTTTAACATTTAACAATCTTAATTTATAGACTAGTTGGAATTATTTGCGTGTGACCACCTACGTATGTATATAAACACTTTTCCCTTAACATGTTTTTCTTCGCTGAAATTTTGAAATTATTTCCATATCAAAAGGGAAGTAATTTTAACTTTTCAACCACTCCTAATTGACATTTAGAGAAATCACTCCTGGAGAGTGATCAATTTTCCATCATTTCCATCATTTTCATCATTCTCCATTATTACTATCAAATTCAATTCCTCTTTACTCTCTAAATCCTCTCTATTCTTCAAACTAAAAAAAAATGCCTTCAAAATCAGAAAAACATTCCGAAGATCGTTTCCATCATCCAAAAATTTACACTCCATATCGAGAAAATAAATTATCTCCACTGTTCAGATGGCGTGGTTCAGTTATTCCAAAAGTTTTACCTCAAACAATTTTCATTACAATTTTAGCAGTTACTGTTACTGCTCTCTATCAATATACCGATATTAAACTTTCAATTAAACCAACGTTCATTTCAATTATTGGTTTCATTGTTTCTTTATTACTTGGTTATCGAACAAATACCGCTTATGATAGGTAATTATTATTATTATCCTATAAACTCTTCTCTTATTTATCTGTTATAATTATTAATGACATGTTAATATTGATATTAAAGATATTGGGAAGGTCGTCGACTATGGTCAACTCTGGTAGTATCAATTCGAAATTTAGTACGTTGTATCTGGGTAAATGTCAAAGAAACAGAACCAAAACATTTACTTGAGAAAAAAACTGCTATTAATCTTTTATTAGGGTTTGCTGTATCAGTTAAACATTACCTTCGTGAAGAAGATGGAATTGATCATCCTGATTTAAAGCCATATATTACCAATATAAAATCAAGTCTTCCAGCATTTCATCCACTTGATAAAAATAATTATAAGAAAAAACCTTCAGGTTTTAAAAAATGGTTTTCTCATTCTATTAGTACAAGTGAATTAGGTGGTGATTGTGAAAATATTGTTAATCATAATTTACCACTTGAAATTTCTTTTTATTTATCTTCTTATATTAGGCAACAAAAAATTAATAATTCTACTGATGATTCAACTATAAGTATCATGTATAATAATTTATGTACTTTAACTGATTGTTTATCAAGTTTAGAAAGAGTTCTTAGATCTCCTATTCCTCTTGCTTATTCAATTCACTTGGCTCAAACTACTTGGTTATATTGTTTAAGCCTTCCATTTCAATTGGTTTCTGATAATGGTTGGATTACTATAATTATAACTTTTTTTGTTACTTTAATTTTATTGGGTGTTGAAGCGATAGCAAATGAAATTGAAAATCCTTTTGGTAAAGATGAAAATGATTTAGATCTTGATGATTTTTGTGGAATTCTTAAATTAGAACTTGTAAATATCGTAGCTCATAAAGCTCCTTCTATGGATGATTGGGTTTATTCTTTAGAAAATCATCCATTTGAAACTGATAGTATTACTGCCACTGAAGCAAAACATTTAAATATAAATGAGGTTAGAAGTATATTGGAAGAGGATAATAGAAGATTAAGTGCTCGTTCTGAAAAACGGTCTAGAAATAGTACTTCTGACTCTGATGGTTCTGATGGTTCTGATACTTTAAATCAAAATGAAATTTCTATTCATGTTGATTCATAACTTTTGGTTTTTTGAGGGGTGGAGGAAGGGGGGTTCTTGGTTTTAAACAATTTTCAATTCATGTATTCATTTGTCTTTTTTGTATATGTTGTTCCTCAAAATGCATCCTTGTGTCAGATGACGCCCGGCCTGAGTTAGGATTAGGGTTAGGGTAAAACTTGCATGGTAATTTATTGCAGATCATTTAGTGCTGGTCATCTGGTAGTCATCTGATGTGCGTTAGTCGCAATCTGACGCAAGGATTCATTAAGTTGTGTATAAAAAAATGATTAAATTAATATTTATTAATAGATTTTGAAATGATAAATTTATGTCAAAAAATGATAAATTTATGTCAAAAGTGTGTGATAACATTATTGAGCCTCTTCATAAATCCTTCCTCAGTTAAACTTTTCGGTTTCTCATTTACAACCTTTATACAATTTTAATTATTTTCTAGAGTTAAACAAAAAGTACACATTGTTAGAGTTCAAACTTACGTTTCTTTTAAGTGACCTTAATATTTTGCATAAATAACCACCATGATCTC